TAAAAATAGAAATTATTATCTCATTAAGAATAAGGAAAAATCGGAGAGAAAGCAAAAGTGTTTCGTTTATTTATAATATTGTGTGTACAAGTGATTTCTTTCCGTTTATATTTTTTTTCAATTTCAACAAAGTAGTGTGTTAGTGAACAAAAGAAAACAGGAGTACTGACAATCTCCCCAAGGATTTATGAAGAATTTTTTAGAGAATATTTTTTTAAATAAAATAATAAATAGGGTATGCCCTGAGGATAGTAAAGTGCATTGGCACGTATGTGTATATGTGTGTAACTGTGTACACGTGTATATATATACTGACTATCGAATAAAGGCCATAAGTCCGGATGCATGCAAAATATAAGAGAAAAACATTATAACAAACTGGAACCTGTTACGAACTCTTACAGAATGTATATAATATGAAAAATATACAAAATTAGAACTCAGCAGGAAGAGATATTGACTGGTACACTTGTACACAGTTACTCATAAATAGTCATGTAATGATTGAGAGGAATGAGTCAATGAATTGCAGATTGTCTATAAGTATGCTTGTGTGTGTGTGTGTGTGTTGATTTTGAACTAAATATTGTTACGAATGGAAAACTAGAAGAAAGTGGACAATTTTAGAGAAAACCCACAATAAAATCACGCAATTGAGAAAAACTTATTGGAAAAATTTGTAAAACTATGTGAAATAAGAGATGTCTTGAGGGATGAAACAAAAACCTAGATGATTTGAGTCATTTCTACTTACAGAACATTCACAATTAAATAAGGTAGATTGTATAGCTGTATCACATTAATTTGAATATCCAAATTACTTTTGATCACTGACATTTACAAACATTTTAAAATCAATTCTTAATTAAACATTTGAAAAATCAAACAAATTTTTATATTAATGTGGAGCAATGACAATTGGAAAGTAGACAAACTCGTGGAGAATGTTGACACTCAGTTATTTAAATAGTTGTGATCATGAGTCAATTGAAGTTAGAACACCATGGAAAACCTGGAAGCACAGGGCGGCCGTTTCTTCCTACTGCTGGACTGCTCAACAGTGCAAACTCACGATCCCGCCTCTCGAAATTCGAACCCAGGACCTATCAAACTCGCGCGCGAACGCTTAACCTCTAGATAACTGAGCCGGCATTCAGTGGTGTTAAGAAGTATTTCCTGGAGCTCTACTGGGAAACATCGACCAGTGGAATACAACCGAGTCTGTTGTAAGATAGTAATTCACTGAAAACAATGGTGAATGTAGACATTAACACCTTTGGATGCCGGTCGGCTCAGTAGTCTAGTGGTTAAGCGTTGGAGCGCAAAACCGATAGAACCTGCGCTCAAACCTCGAGAGGTGGGATTGTGGATGCGCATTGCTGAGAATTCCCACAATAGGATGAAATGGCCGTCCAGTGCTTTTAGGTTTTCCATTATGGTCCGGCTTCAATCGACTCATGATCTCAACTATTAAAATTACTATAATATCCACGAAACCCTTTTTTGATACTCAGTTATTTATTTGAAATAATAAATGACTTCCTATTTCCTAGCATAGTAACCAACTAACTCCTATAGTATTTTTAGATTTTTCATTAGTTATAAGTTATATAATATACCCTTGTGGGCCAGGGTAATTTTACATTGGTTTTCAGGAGAACCAGACACCATCCGGACTTTCACGTAAAAACCCAAACAGTGCAGCTCAACCCCGTTTAGCAGAGGAATCAGACACCGTACAGGCCTTAACGCTACAATCTGAATAGTACAGCTCAATCCTGTGGCGCAACCACACAGGTACCAAGAACCCTGGTGGACCATTCGCACCATTCATATACACACTCACATCACGTGTATAGTTATTCGGATCAATGATCGCGTGATTCAATTATGCACAGCACGAACAGGCCAAAGTTGACCTATTCCGCTTACACGACAGTCAAACTCGTTAATATTAGCAATGGCGGCATGCCTTACAATATCCCAATGACAATGGCCCTCGGGAACACTGAAAAGCAACCACCAGTATGAATGAAATCGGTTAACCAGCAAACCAATTTTTGCATGAACAGTGAGCAAAACTTGCCAAAGCAATGCCGAACCGTCCACAATAACAATGGCGAACCTCCAGCCTCATATGAGACCTTCAGCTCTATATAACCATATAGCTTATAGTGCATACAACACATGTATAGGGTAGTAAGCGAAATAGCCCAGCCTGAAGCATCAGGGCTTAAATAACACTTAAAACCCATTGTCTGATGTCGGAATACTACAATTAGACCACCAAGATCATTTTTATCGCATTTGCAAAAATTTCATTTTTCCGACTTTTAGATTTTTCATACCATATTGAAATATTGCTATTTTCATGGTACATCAATTTTGGTTAGTAAATATACCTTTTATTTGGTTGTGAGAATAGTATACAATCTCACATTTATTCTCTTTTCTTATAAAACTTAAACCTGTAGAGTTGTGAGGATTGTGTAATAGGAAATCAATATAATGTAAGGATGATATTAACCACAGACAGACTGATCTCATTTCAAGGACTATTGAAAACCAGTGAGGAATGAAAAGTTCTTATAAAATCCAAACATGAATGATATTAGAAGAATATATATGAAACAAAGATTTTTTTGCAAGATATTCCGTAACACCTCAAATAGAGTGTCAAGAAGACATGGAAAAATGAAAATGACAAGGGTTGAAAAGAACACTATATTTCAAGGCAAAGAGACGATACTGAATGTAGGACATATCATCTGAATATCTAGAAGAGCAAATGAGTCCCACATAGGCAGTATTAAGATATAGTTACAATACTCAACTGAGAAAATTAAGTTAATAGTGTCTGTTTAAAATAAATAGCAAAGATGGTATAAGTATATTGAGGGCATATAGACAGTTACATTTTAATTATCAAATGTTTTTCTACTAATAAACAACTTCAAAACTGTCTACTTAATACCTTCGCTTGTAATTTAATGCAGTAGAATGTGTGTTGAAATAACTGCACTGTATGTGAACATCAAATATGGAGATAAGTTCACTTGTTAAACAACTAAGCTCCACTACACCAAGGTATATAAATGAAACATGGGCGAGACTCTAATTTATGGACGAGCCATTATGATTTTAGAACCTCTGAACCTCTTTCTAACCTTGACAAGTTTATGAACCACGTATAAGAAGTGTATCCACTTTATTTCCTTGGTTTTGTATAACATATCTTTACTCTATACTGACTGTTTGCTGATTGGCTAATATGTCTCAAGGTCGCTTAAGACCCATTCAAAGGTCGTCCATAAATTATAGTCTTTCCGAAACATGTTTTAAGATTGACTTGAGAACAGTTTTCAAATCCTTAATTAAGCTTAGTTGTGTGAGAATCCTCACTATCGGAAAATGTAAACTAATGTTAAGAAAGTTTTATTCCAACTTTGAACCTGATGCAGTGATTACATAATCAACTTTTATTATCAGAAGTAGTGTGATTACATATTTTTTCTGTGTGATCATTCTTTCATATTTTTACTTACAACCTGAAAATTTATTGACCTTTCTTAGTTTTTACATAAAGTCTTCGTAGATCCCATCAATCATAGATCTTAGCTAGATAAACAGTGAAAATCAGATAGGGATTTTTCAGTAGTGTACATTCATGACTGCAGCAAGAACAGAACCTAGGGCTTATGATTTTGTGATAAGCACAGAACGTCTATATCACTGAACCAGGATTCAATGGTGTATATGTTTAACTTTAATCCATTTGTAGTATTGTGTGACCTACATTGCATATCGAAATTTGTTACTAGTGTAAATGTGATTAGTGAAGATTGTTGATTAAATATTTGATCAGACTGTTGTTGACATGCAAATATATGAACTTTGTTTAATTATGAAACTAACTGGATTTATAAAAGGCTCTAATTAGTTTCAATGTGCATATGACAAAAATAACGATTATTGTTTCAGTTCCTTCACAGGTTTGAACGAAGCGTGAACGATCATATTTGCAGACTTAAGTGAATTTATTGTGTATACTGATAAGTTGTGTAGGTTGAACGCTATATACGATTCCTAAGCTATTCCCGTAGCCCGCAGACTAGAACTACACAGCGACTTGAACTCCAGAGAGACGACACAAGTATGAGAGAAAACACTTTATCCCAAGGTTCATTTTAGTACAGAAAATCAAGGGTATTTATAGATGTTGGCGTCTGTTAAACCAACATCATATTTCAGCCAGTCCGTTAACGTCATATTATGCTACCGACCAATGGTAGCACGCCACGCTGGAATTCTTGAACGTTCCATCATGCTCTGATTGGCTAGGGGCCTTCGGCTCCTTTTTGGGCCTCTGGAGGCTCCGTGGAAGTTCTCCGGAAGCCGACCCAACATATATCTGCTTTCTTTTCATTTTCATACGAAACAATAAGTTTAATAACTTTTAGTTTCGAAAATAATGTTCAATTTAAGAAATGAATTGTTAGTATGGAATGGGTTATTTTTAATGCTGGTAAAAGCGATGAAATGGAAGCACTGGACGGCCGTTTCCAAAGGTGGTCTAACATCAATCGGTTCATGATCCTAATCAAAAACTTGATAATCTTTACAACCCGTATACTAGAAATGCAATGAATTTATCGTATGCTACAAATATTATCGTTCTTGTATACTCTTCTGGTTAGCGTCTTTTTAGCAAGGTTCTATGGGAGAGTTCTTTTATGTATGAATCTGAAAATTGAGGAACTGTTACAACCATCGTCAAAAACGTACTGGTGTTTATAAACAGTTGTCTTCACAAAGTACTCCAGATCTATTTGGCATACATCATCATTAACAACCTAATCTAACAGAGAACAAATTAGCTTTTAAATAAAGATGAAGAATGAAAAGACTCTGCAGGTAAATAGTACACATTTTGTGGAAATCATCAAACTGCATCACAAAGAAAGCTTTAGCTTAGAATCCTGAAAGAGAAAGGAAAAGTGACAGACCGAAGAACACATTGACTGGCTGGGAATTAGAGGCAGAAATCAAAGAAATGAATAACACCTGTGAACAACTGGAAAAGAAAGTCTAGGATAAAGTAGGTTTGAGATCCCTGGTTAGAGGCTTATACTCCATTAGGGGTAACTGGCTTAAGTAAGTAGGTATATAGTCTTAATTTGTTTGGGATTCATGAAACACTGTATTGTAAAGTTTATTAATAGATTACTGCCAGTTCAACTGTTATATATTTCGGCGAATAACATTAAATGTCATGAATTATCGTAAAACTTCATTTATGCTCATTAGATACTTCACTGTTCAACAATAGTTGTTAAAGCAAATAATTGGAAGTATAAGAGGAGGTGATTATACATTTGATTTTAAGACTACATCTCAAAAACCTGAAAATCAATGTGTCTCAATGATTGTTCAGTACAACTATTGGTCACTTAATTGTGATAGAACATTAAGTCATAAATCACCGAAGTAAATAAATAAGTAAAATGATGCTTAACTTAACAGATCATTAAATAACTTTAACTTAACTAATGTATTAAATGTATTAGTCATTTCTACTGTAATGAAAGAGAACCCAGGTGAGAATAACCGAGTTAATTGATAAAAAGTAGAAAAACCATATTCCAATACTTCAATTGCAAAATGTTTATTAATTGTCTCATATTTGATTGTTCTTTCATTTGTATACCAATTACTTTCTGTTCCCGTTCTTACCTCCTCCATCTTTTCAACTTTCTACTGCCGGATATTCTATTTCTGACTAGTATTAAATACTATAGATGGTGGTTGGAGGTAGTCAATAGGAAACCCTGGACCCGGGTTTCGTGCTACTTGGCACTCGTCAGCAAGGTGTACCTGTAGTCTTGAGGGAACTGGTGCTCCCTAGCGGACTCAATCTCGTGTCATCCAGCTTCACAGTCAGAGACGTTACCACTGAGCTACCCGAGCCACGACCGACCTCCCGTAGGACTGAGATGCTGACGAGTGCCAAGTAGCACGAAACCCGGATCCAGGGTTTCCTGTCGACTACCTCCAACCACCATCTAAATCTCAATACATAGTGCCCGCAGTGTCGAGTCACCTAGGCTGATGGCCATATTGTAACATGGTCGATAGCATTCGGTCTGCACTAGTAAGAACTGGACACGCATGACATTGATCACCACCCAGTGATCAATCAATTGTGAGTATTAAATACTACTTATGTCGACATAAGTAGCACATACCACACTGCTAGCATTAAATGGGATGTTTATATATATATATATATATATATATATATATATATATATATATATATATATATATATATATATATATATATATATATATATATATGTTAAACTTGTTGATTCATTCATTTATAATATTATACTTTCTCAATTGATTATTTAAATCTCTATGTACCCACATCAACAAATAATTCATTAATAATTATTTTTGTTACTGAGTATCATACTCAGTTTTGCTAATTTGACGACACACTTTTGATATGAAAAAGCTTTGAGATTTTCTAACCAAATGGTCATATGTACATGTTCTGTTTTAATTAAATGTACTGATTGAGATCTTGAACCGATTGATGCTAAAACATCATTGAAAACTTGGAAGCACTGGACGACCGCTTCGTCCTATTGTGGGGCTCCTCAGCGGTACGCATCCACGATCTCACACGAGGGATACAGACTCAGGACCATGTGTTCACTAGTGACCAGCTGCGTGACGGAATTCTAGGAGTTCTAGTAAGAAACCGAGACCTGTGGAATTATTCCGTGTCGGGTAGAGACAGGTATCTACATCAGTACAATGGAAGATGGTCGAGCAATTTCATGGATTGGTTGGGGTTAGTTGTTAACACCGTTGGACACCGGCCGGCGCAGTGTTCAAGTAGGCTTAGGGTTCGCGCGTGAGACTGAAGGCCCAAGCTTCGAATTCCGCAAGCGCGGTCGTGGGCACGCACTGCTGAGGAGTCCCACAATAAAACGGAACGGCAGACCAATGCTTCCAGGCTTTCAATTATGGTCTAGCATCAATCAGTTCAAGTTCTCAATCAATAACTTAATAATCTCCACAACCATATACTGATAATTATTGAAATTTACCAATGAGACCCATTGCTTATGTGTAAGTATTAGGAAAAATTTTTTCTGGTTAGCATTATCTAGCGAGTTAGTTTTCTGTGGAATGGGGTCGCCAACCCCATGCTCACCCCTCCTCCTTTATCCTGGCTTGGGACCGACAGTAGCCCCAAGGGAATCCGGGCGGAGCAAGAGCTGCATATCTACAATGGAAGGTCATCTGGAACTAAAAACAACTATCAACTAACACTCAACTCACAACTTTCAATATAAATGTTAAGACAGTTCTACTGTATGGGGTGAAAACTTGAAAAAATAAGAAAGCCATCATTCAGAAGATACAAGAGTTTATTAACAGTTGTCTACACAAAATACTTCAGATTCGTTGGCCACACACTAACAGCAACAAACTACTATGGGAGAGAACAAACTAGACTCCAGTGGAGGAGGAAATCAAGAAGAAGTGTTGGAAGTGGATAAGACACACATTGAGGAATGCACCCAACGGTGTCATAAAGTAAGCCTACACTTGAAATCTTCAAGGCCAAAGGAGAAGGAGAAGATGAAGACCAGAGAACACATTACACGGAGAAATGTTGGCAGACATGAGATGAATGAACAAGAATTGTATGTAACTAGAACGGAATGGTGAGAATAGAGTGAGTTGTAAAATGCTGGTCGGTGGCCTATGTTCGACTGAGAGTAACCAGTGTAAGTAACTGAGTACGTATGACATCACTACTGTATTATTCCTATTATTTTTTGTAAGTTTATGTGAATAACCTATAAATTTATTTGTGATTCCAGTGAATACTGATACTATAAGTCATATATCCAGCTAACTTGATAATTATCCTAATAATTACATAATGACATTTTGATTATAAATTAACATTGAGTTATTACGTAACGTATCCACTCGGTGAGTATTACTTCATTATTGTAAATCTTATATATATATATATATATATATATATATATATATAGAGAGAGAGAGAGAGAGAGAGAGGGGGAGAGAGAGGGAGGGGGAGAGATCCATGATGAAAAACTAATTATTCTAATAGTCTAATCACTGGCACTTATAATTATATCGCACCTAATCAATAAATCACAATTAATAACATTCATTGAATAGCTGATATGATCTTGATAATAATAATAATAATAACGATGATAAAAAACACCATAGAAACCTTAGTTTATTCAAAAAAAGAAACTGGTTACTTTATTTTAGAACATAAAAAGTAAACATACCATCAAATGAACGCAACCGATTTCATGAGATAAGTCATTCTAAAGCGGTAATTCTACAAAGAAATGTTATCAGTTATATTCAAAAAGAAAAGAAAAAAAGGAAAACAATCATTAGAATGAATCTCTTTTATGTGAAGAGAGAAGTAAAATGAAAGGAATTCACACTTTCATTTTTCATTAAGAAAATGAATGACCCAATGTAATAATAACAATAACAATAATGGTGATAGGTAAACAAGGTACAATTGAATTACATCAGTCATTAACGCTTTACTTTTTCATTCTATATTGGTATATACCCCTTAAACAATTATCTACACCCTGCTGAGTTGAATTATTGTAATAATTGCATTGGTATACATCTGGTTGTATATCTGACGATGTGTGTAAGTGTGTGTACTTGTGTAACAATGAATTATGAAGTAAAAAGCAAAAGAAGATGAAACAATCAAATCAAATTCAAGAAAAGAAAAAAACAAAAACAAGACAGTTGAATGTAATCAACACAGATGTAAAACATCAGTCATTTTTCCTACTATTGAATAAATTAATAATCTATACAAGGAATAATTCTTCTCCTTTGTTCTTCCTTTCTAAAACAGATGTTTACAGGTGCTTTAAATTCCTTGATATATACATATATACATGAAAGAGAAATATTATCCAGTTTGCCGAATACGAAGCATGAATACAATTAAAAGAAAATGAACTCAAATATACACATATTAATGACCATCATCATCATTATCATCATTACAGTAGTAACGGTTGTTGTTGTTGTTATTGTTGCCATATTAACAATAGTAATAATAATAATAATAATATTTATGGTATGATTGGCGTAAACTGTTTTAATCATTTTCATACCTTTTTAATTGTTTGATTACAAATGGCTCGAATCAACTTAACAAATAGCTTTTTTCTCCTTATGTGATTCGGAGAAAAAAGAGAGAAGTGATTAAAAAGAATAAAAATTGTTTTCTTCAAAGTATTTTTCTTTCTTTAAGTTTCGCATCTTTTTTCTTCGAAAAATGAACTTCTTTTCTCTCTTCATTATTATTTTTACAGGATGGAAGAAATTACTCAGGTGATATTTATATTTCAATAGTTGAGATCATGAGTCAATTGAAGCTAGACCACTATGGAAAATCTGAAAGAATTGAATGACCGTTTCGTCCTGTTGTGGGACATCTCAGCAGTGCACATCTATGAATCCATATATATTCACTTATTGAAAAAGAAAAGAATTGAAAAATGTTTAAGCCTCTATTTATATTTAATGATGTGACCTACTCGCCATATCTTAGTATCTTAATAATAAAATTCAAGTATGAGACTCCCCGGTGCTGTATTAAGAAGAACTATCCAGTGATTGAATTCATGACACATAACGATCATAGAGATAACTTTATATTTAGACTATTTAGTTAGTATTGATATTAAACTCAGTAGTTTAAAGTCAGAGACCTCGCTGAATGGTTTGAAGATCTTGAGTTTAATTCTTAGCGATATATTAGATTCAAACTGTTGAAAAGTCTCAAATTAGAACTTCACAGTTATTTAATACTATCTGGTGTTTAACAGTTGTTTGACAGAAATCAATTTGTGTTGTTTACTAGTTTTGAAATGAATAGTCTTTACATAACATCTCATTAATAAAAATTCATATGGTTAATATTTGATAGTTTTAGAAAAAATTTTCTGAAGCCATAGCCAATGGAGCTCAATAAGATTGTAGTGACCTAATTTTATCATGAGAACGCGATTGGTTTAATGGAAACAATTATCATTATAACCAATTTTACCAGTGATTGTTTTACTGTAATTGTTTGTTTAGCTATACTAAAGACATACATTCTTCCGTTGATTGTGACTTTGCGCAAATTCGGTTACGCTCAGTAGCCACACTTGTAACCTGGCACGATCTCTCTATTCTTTCGATACCACGAGATCGCCAACAAATACATTTCGATTACAACCATCAACTGCCTTCTGATATTTGGCTTACGGGGGATCTTATCGGTTAACTGGTACGTAGTCTTCCTGTAGTGGTGAAATTCTTAGCACAAGGTATTTCAAAAAGTTTCCTTTGCCTATTTCTTGATCGATCCTGTCAATAAATATCGAGTGATCACCAGTT